GCACGCCCATATTCTTTTAATAACGAATTGAAACCCTCCGTATTTGTAATGATGTGGATTACGTCCTTTAGCTGTAATAAACGTAGATCAGAGCTCTTAATTCCCTCGTTATATAAAATACATATAGATTTAAATGTATACGATAAGGAAAAAAAATATAATTATTTTTCTTGCAGATAAAATGCAAATCATATTCGGCTTATTTTTATGATCGTAGCAGTGAATCAAAAAACGTCATTAATATGCCATTTATGCTAACCACGTTTGCAAAATCTCGTCCTTCGGTCATTTATAGCTAATCATTCATAATTTTTATACATAAATCACTTCGAAGTGTACGTTCATTTTTGGTGTGCTGTAATTAGGGTTAAGTGAACCAACCATCTCTTAAAAATGCGCGATCATCAATCGAATTGAGATAGGTTATTGTTAAACGAAAATGCTTGTAACAGTAGCATTAACAACATATGTTTTTGAATTCCATTCGATTCTTTCCTTTATCTGTCCTTTCTAGTTATCAAAACGTAAAGGCGAAAGAGGCCATCAGCGGCCGGACGTAATGCCGCTGAACGCTGGTAACTCGGTCCGGGGCTTGAATATCGAATAACGGACTGGCTGCATGATGGTTTTCCCCGTATGTAACCTGTACACAAGCCAGGTTCCCTTAGAAAGGCCTCCACGAAGGTTTATCCGCCCCTTTAATACGTAGCGTGTTTTTAAAGTAAGGGCCGTTTTGTTGTATACACTACTACGTGTCGCGCGGGTGGCAACGAGTGCTTGCGTTGTGTTCCGGCGTCCCTTGGAAACAGGACAGGACTAAGTGTGGGAAGCACCAACACATCGCCATTGGCAGAACTGGTGTCGCTCCTTCACACTAACTGTCTTGAGATGAACACCTCCACAGGGCGTACTTACGCCACGCATCGGTGTTCATTGAAACGTTAATCATTAGGGCATAGAGAACTTGTGGTACAGAGCATGGCCGGGAGATACAGTTGCTGATGACAATGACATTGCAATACAATACCATACATTACAGTTGATGGTGAATTATAAATATATGTACACAAATAAACAAATAGAATTGAATGTTTACAACTGTGGTCATTTGCAGCTGTGTCATTTTCAACTTGTACGGTCTGTTCTGTGTCTTTAAAATGTTCAAGATTATCAAATCACTCGCCACGTTTTTGGTCAGCAAAAAACCTGTGCTTCCTGCTACTGCAGACATTCACTAGCAGATTTGTGAAGTTTACGGAGCTATTGCCGTGAATGGAGGCAAGTGCGTACGTCAGTCAGACTTCAAAGCTGGCTGCTACAACGTCCATGATGAGTCCCGCTCTCTGGTCGCCCATCTGCGATCACAGACGATGTGGAGGCTTCAGATGAAGCCAGTGGCGTAGCTAGGGTGGGGCAAGGGGGGACATCTGTCTCCGGGCGCAGCCTCTAAGTTCTGCCAAACTGATGCTACGAAAGTTTTTAATGAAATGTTTTCCATTATTGGCACACAGAAAGGGGCGAAATTTTTCAGTTGTCCCCGGGCGCTGGAATCCTAGCTACGCCACTGGATGAAGCAAACGTTCTTGAGAACAGATGCTTCATCATAAGAACTCCTTCAAACGAATTTCCTGAAGTGTCTAGTCTAGGATAAAAAACGGCCGTGGCCTCTTGGTTATCGGAGCAGGTAGCAAGTTTCTATGAAGAAAGTATTCAAAATCTAGTTCTAAGGTATGATAAGTTGTTTAAACTAACTTTCAACTATGTTGAAAAATAAGGAAACATATGTAGAATCTGAAAATAAATTTGGTTTTTGAAAATTTTCTTTCATTTGGTTTTTATTTTCAAACGGCCCTAAAAACACCCCTCGTACTTTCACTGCCGCATCACTCATATTCGGGTGGAGGCAGAAAATTCTGATCAGGCAGCGTCACTCGTATTTGGGTGATGGCAAAATTTCTTATCAGACCGCGTCATCCATATTCGGGTGACAGTTCTTAGGAGATACAGTATATTTCAAAAAGTGATTGTTGATTGCTGAAGAAAAAAATGAAAATGTTCGTTCATTCCATTCACTAAATGATTTGTGCTGTCTTTGGTATCAACTTTTCCTTCTTCCTAAACAACCAATTCTTGTAAAATATAATCAGTAATATGTATACACCACATTTATCACCGGTGCATTTATCAGTATCTCGGCTGTTCTTCATCGTTGCTATTCGAATCATAATCTGGAGATGTAATTTTGTTTATTATCTTTCTGGAAAATCTCGGGTGTTCTTCATCGTTGCTATTCGAATTTTTGTAAACCTCTCAACAAGTTTTTTCTTCACTGCTATGTGATTAATTTAAAAATTGCTCTTTAATTTTTCTTTCAGACAATGAAAAAAGTTGGGGGCAACAAAATTAACACAAAATTTCAACTGGTTATCACTACAGAAAAAATGTATGGGGAAAAAGAAATAGTTTTCGAATCTCACACCCTTTCTTCGTTCTTGAGGAAAGCTTTTAAATTGAATGCATGACCCAAAATATTTCGCTCTAGACATTCTAAACTCTGATCAGGCAGCGTCACTCGTATTTGGGTGATAGCAAAAAATTGAGTAAGGAAACAATTGAGGCATGGTAGCAGCGCTCGTGGCTAAAGGGCATTTTCTTACAAACTCGCGTGGCACTCAATGTGTTAAGCGGATAGCCCTCGAGTGCTTTGCCATAACGAACCAAACTAAGGTGGAAGTATCAAATTCTTACTCAGGTTACAAGTTTTATCCAGTTTATCCAGAGGGAATCTTAATGGACTTTTCTGTTTAAAAGTAAAAGTTAGGAATATTTTAGGCGTAAAATGTGAATAAAAATGAATTTCTTTGAATTTATTTAATCTTTGCAACAGACGACAGAAAAAGTCAATACTAGTTAAAATGACATCTGAAAATGCCCTTATGAATGAGTCTTAACTTGGCAGATCCGAATGTGATTCTTGCGCTATTAGGATGGACAGTTACAGCTTGTTTGTAGCTATTTTTCTCTCTTACTGGAAGAAATTTGCTGAAAGACAAAATGATGTTCCTGGATAATCTGCTCAGCAATCCAAGTAATGTTTAAAGCGTAATGCGTTTAAGTAGACAGAAGAGGAATGCGTTTTCGTTTACGACATCAGCAAGTTTGGGTCTAAAGCCTAGAAAGAAAACATTAATTCTCGCCGTAAAACTTCCAACGCATCTCCTTACTTTCGGAAAGAGGGTGTATGGGAGCTTCTTATTGTGAAAAGCGTAATTAATATAAAAGTCGACCTCAGTATTCTCTCAGATATACCATAAAATATAAAGAGAGAAGGGAAGCCATTAGTATTAGTCTGGATGAATATCTTAAGAGATAAAGCAGCCTTTGTATTAATAAAATAGTGTAAAAAAATCTGGCTGTTCTTGCCAGCTCGAATCTGCCTGGTTATTAGGCCTAAACAGAAATAGAATTTCTTCTGTCAGAGCAGCAGTATATAAACTGCAGCTGTGGACCAGGGCCGGCCCTAGCCTTTTTGCCCACAAAGCTATATCTGAATCGCACCTGCTGTGGCACCAGTTCTGGGTGGGTCAGTAAAGGACACTTTGTCTGAAACTTGACAGTGTTTCTCGAAATTTATGACGTATTTCCCCCCCTTTCTCTCTCTCTTTTTTCCAGCTGAAATTTTCTGAAGTTCCTGACATCTTAAATTCTTAGCTCAACGTTTTTGATGTTATTCTCTAACGATTTGACCCCAGTGGGCACCTAATGAATGTTATTAATACAGTTCATTGTAGCATTGTTTCCCAGTATTATATCTATATATATTATTTTGTTGTTGTTGCGTTGATGATTTTCTTTTTTTTATTTATGTATATCAAAATGGATAATCAAACTTAATTTGTGAATCTCAAATTGTGTGGAAATTGTATTGTTATCTCATTATGTTCTAAAGCATTATTTCTTAATAAATACTAGATTCGGGATGTCAACAAATGGGATTGCACGATATATCATAGTAAGTAAACTATAATATCATAGTAAGATCGACGGTTCCCAACCTTTTAAGAGCCGTTCCCACTGGGGTTTATCTGAGCTAACGGAGACAACTGACGTAGCCGACTCATCTCCAAAACCAGTTTTTTTCCCATAGGACAGCAAGTTGAAAAATCTGAACTGCAAGCACAACGGAAGCATGCTAGTCCAAAGAATATGTATTGTTAAGAAGGAAAATTTCGCAGCACCAGAAGTGGGCTCCCTTCGAACGAAAAGGGAAACAACTGTGCATGCGTGAAATATCTGTCGCCAAAAAGCGCCAAAGCTCGAAGCTGATGACGAATTTCGAACAGGTTCTACTCTCACGTTTATCAAGAGTTTGAAGCTGTGTGTGTAATGATGCAAGTTCAACAGCCAGTAAAAGTGGAACTTCACCTAATTTTCTTGTTCATATTGACCAGTGTTTCTCAATTTCCTGTACACATCGCGGAGGAGGAAAATCTCGGCCAGGTTCGGTACATCACAGGGGGGGGGGATTCTCGCCAACAGGTTCCGTCGCCAAATCCCTTGGCGAATTTTCCCTCTTCTTTCTAGCGGAGTAGAAGACAAACTGGTTTACAATTACGTCTTTCTTTCTTTCTTTATATACGCGTTCTTCACTCCGTTAGCCCAGATAAACCCCAGTGGGAACGGCCCTATAAACCTCCAGTAAGAACGGCCCTTTATATCCCATGTTTCCTTTTCACTGTTGCCAGACAATCATTTCCCTCTTCTCTGCCAAACTCGAAAAATATATATGCATTTATTTAAATTTATATTTTGTCAATATATTACGTGTGTAACATGTATATGAGCCAGTTTCCCGTACAAAATCCTCGCCGTAGGTATCCCACCCCTTAGGCAGATAGCTCCAGTGTGTTTTGCCATAATCAAGTAAACCAAACCAAACCAATCCAATCGTGTAATTTACGAATGACTAGAAAATTAATCCTGAGAAATTTCTTTTTCAGACTCGTCATCAGAAGCGACACACACATCATAAGTTCCCGGATGATCACATCACCGTAGGATTTCATTCCAGCGAAAATGAGCATGGTCCATGGGAAAAGTGGAGCGAAAGTAGCGAGTGTTCGAGAACATGCGGTGGAGGCGTGGCATTTCAGACAAGAACATGCCGTGACGCGAAGTAATACTTGAATTCTGCTGCTATTTCTGATATTTGTATACAATATTTTCAAACTGACATTTAAAAAAATATTTTTTGCTAAAATTAAAAATGCTTGCTCTATCCATGAACATTATATTGCTCATTTTAATTTCATTTTAATTTTCTTAACATGTATAAACAAATACTGCTTCTCGGTGTTAAAAAGAAATAAATACCTTTATTATAATTTAATTTTCTCGTCTTATTTGTTAAATGACAGAATCGGAGCCGAATGATTGATAAAACTTCAGCTCCATCAATGAGAGACTTTGTAGGTATGAATATGTTTTCCCTGCAATTTAAGAATCTGCTGCTAAAAAGACTTTTTTCAGGAACTGTGAAAAGACGCACGTAAAGAAGGAGAACCTCGTTACAATAGCAGTCCCAGGTGACTGAACCTCCTTGGAAGATATGAAGGTCGTTACGGCTACCAAGCATTATGTCTCCCCAAACAAGAATTCCGCGACCTCCAAACCGGTCTCTTTTGATGATGTTGCGTGCTCCCCGTTCCCTCCAGATGTGTATGCATCTAGTATCGCAACTCAGACAAAATATGCTCTGATCCATAAAGAGTTCTTGACGCCATTAATTATCTGTCCAATTCTGGTGTTCCCTGCACCACAGAACACCTTCTCCGATAAGCAGGCGTTAATAGTCACCGAACAGGCCGTCGTGCAAACAGACCACCATTGTGCAGCCTCCTGACCATGGTAAAACGCAAAAGCGGTCATCCAATCGCCTGTTCCACGTGTCTTAAGATTTCTTTCGCTGTTTGGTGACTGTTCCTTCTTGCCTATAGCACAATATACCGGTCTTCTGCTGCTGTGGTTGCTTGTGGACGACCACTGCTGAACCGTCAGACAGCTGTTCCTGTAATTTGAAATGCTCTCCAAAGTCGTGAAACAATGCTGTGAGCAATCTGGAACTCCACAGTCACACTTTTCACACTTCGAACTTCCTCAGGCTTTCCAGTGATTCCACCTCGGGTACAAGCATCAAATTGTCGTCTAACAGATTCATTGTTTGACATTTCACATTTGATGTAGCAAACTCTACGTCTTTCAAACTGATATATGCCATGCAAAAGCTTCCCCCAAATCCTGAACTCCTACCTCCAGCAATCTTTGTACCCCTCCTACGCTCCCCCAGTACGTCTAGTTGCATATATGAGCATGCGCTAATGTACCTGACCCTAGCCGATCTCCTGATTAGTCTTTCAGTCCGCTTTGTCTCTTCGTTCCACTGATAAGTTAATTTTTTAACTTCGTCCTTAATTTTTGCACACCAGTGTATTTTTCCTGATTTTTATTCTGCCGGGCTAAGTTGCAGTTGGTAATAAAAGCAACTTTAAAGCATTCGCTAAAACGTTAGCATTAGATCGCTTTTCGGCCTGAAGCTTTTGCGGTTTATCCTTGCAGTTCTGCAGCTGGCTTTAAAGCTTTGTAGATGGAGTCTCGTTGGTTCTCTTCAGAAATTATTTCATATTACATTTTATGCACAGTCTATATTGATTTCTTATGCTATGGCGAGAATTTGATAATAGAAGGAGGTGAAAGGGGCGAAATATTATTTACAGAAGGGCGAGCTGGGAGTATATCACAGACAGTTCCAGGGCGCTCACAGATTGAACCAGTTCAAGAAATAAGCACTTCTGGAAGCTTCAGTGCATCCTTAGGAAGGGCAGCTTTCCCTCAGTTTAAGTAAACAAACAGCTCAATTACCCACCTACTGGGGGGGGGGAATTGCAGAAAAACCATTAGGCCAGTAAACAGAGACGTAACATAAGACATAGAAACATCAGAAGGTTGAAAAATGTCGTGGGAAAGGAAAGGATAATTGATGCAAAAATTCATAGACGTGGATATACGACCTTATCCTATGACATTGACGAGAAGTCGCGACAGATTCCAAGTAAACTATATATTGTAAAAATGAGTAGCGGGAGGCCGATGTATAGTAGCTTTACATTCTGCCATTTTTGCGTTTTCACTATTTTATCGACTTAACTGTTTTTTTCTGTAGATGAAAAAATATGCAGGAATAATATTCAAATTAAATGCGAGAGACATTCCAATCTTCGAATCCCATATATCTTAGAAAAGATTCATGATTTAAAAACTGGAATATTTTTGCTCATTTTATCTTTAGAGTCCCAACCTAAAATGTCGTTAAATGTTTTAACTCAAAGCTTTGAAAAAGTAAATTTTATTGGCCTTCAATGAAAGCATTCATTAAAAAAAAAAACGGACTGCTGTTTATTGCCCTTTTAAGTCTTTGAAGGGTGGTGGTTACTGTAGGTTAACTGTATTGAACGTCTCACTCACTCAATAAACAATATATGAAGGATAAACCAATAAAAAGAGGCTATAAAATATAGAATTTGTGTGATCAGTCTTCTTACAACTTAAAGTTCCAAGTTTATTGCGGAAAATCTGAATCCAAAGTGGAAATGTGTCTTGGAGCAAGAGTTGTGTTAGACTTGACTCCAGAGCTAAGCGGAAGGAATCACATTGTCTACATGGACAACTTTTTCTCTCCTATCGAATTGCTCATTTTGCTGAAAGGACAGGATATATACGCAGTGTCAACTGTAAATCCAAGCAGAAAGAAGATGCCAAAACTAAAGAAGGAAAAATCCCTACAACAAGGAGAGTTTGATGCTTATGCTTTTAGTGAAGAGATAGATATCTGTGTACGGGTGGAAAGATAAGAGAGGGGTAAACCTAATGTTATATTCTGGGCAAACTTTACTACCTAGATAAAAAGATGACACTCGAAGTAGACAGACATGGGCGAATTGAATGTACTTTTTATTGGTGAATACGAACTAATTATCAAAAACATATTTTTCGTCACACATGATCGTGGACGCAATACGCACACCCACAATTTTTATACAGAGTATCAGATAACAGATTATATTAGATAACGGTGGAGTTAGCAGCACGGTAAAGAAAAGGGACCAAAGTAATGCAAGAGAGCTGAAACTAAAGTGCGCAGTTATCCAGTATGGAGGCTCACCAAGAGAAGGTTTTGATTTAGATCAAAAAGCTTTCAGTAGTTAAAAAAATAAATAAATAAATAAATAAATAAATACTGGATTAGCTACGTCATTAGCACTAGGCAAACTATATAACGTAGCTTAATGTAGAAAGTGCACAGTCCAGAATAGTTATTACTACTTTTAGAATACAGAGAGGAAGTACCCAGATTAAAAATGATAAATTAAAACGCTATTACTATGTAGAATTCTCCACTGTGTAATTCTAAATTACAGTTAAAAATGAAGGATCTTAAGAACTAGTAAGTGAATAATCGTTTGAACTCGTGAGACAATAATTAAACTTGGAAATGGTTAAGACCCTTTATTATTCAAATAAGATTTAACAGAACTCTGTCTTGGAGTTGTACAACAAAGACAATACTTGGGCTTGAACTTAAGAGACTAAGAATCAAACTAAACTAATCTTAACTAAAGAGATATAGCCGAAAGTATCAAAATTCAATCCGAGTTGGCCCCTTAACGCTAATTTGACTGCGAAGCTATCAAGGGCCTAAAGTAAGGCCGAGAGTAATAATAACTTTCGAGAGAGTAGCCTAAAAAGACGGATGCGTGCAGCCAGAATATCTGGTAACTCTCTCTTTAAAACAGTAGAACTTTGCGGTTAAATACCGCTCTTCCTCATTAGCATTCAGATGTGATTCTAAAACCACGTTCTGGCCCGAAGTGGTAAGTTGAAATTAAGAAGCGACAAGAAACGAAGTTTAACTCATTTAACTGTTAATAAAATTAACATAATCCTTACAACTAAATTAAATTATAAAGCTGATTTACGTATTTTACATATATACAGTCAAAAGTCTTTAATCCAGACTCGTCGGGACTTCAGCGATTCCGGATTATCGATTTTCCGGATTATAGATCATCAGTTTAAATCTGGTAAGATGGCATGCAGAAATTATAAAATTAAAAATATGAACCGTTATTTATGAAATAAAGAGCAATTATGATCTAAAGGGTATCAAAATTTACAAAAAAAAAAAAGCTTAATATTTATTTGTTTACTTTATTAAACATTTCTTTCGATTCGCGCATGCGTAAAGCATACATTACGCATAGTCGAAATTAGAAAATTGCAACCAGAAAGCTATTTGATTTGTATTCGTGATATTTATAATGACGAGGAATTTGATTTAAATCATATCAAAGACGGAGTACGTCGAGATGAAATACTACATTTAGTAACGAACGAACGAACGAAGATTTATACCACAGTTCGTGAACTTAATCACATTCTGGGAACGGGATAAATCCCGAAAAGCGTCACCCTAAGATGACGTCGAACACTCCTGCTGGGCCCGGAGTCCCACACCCCCGAGACACCAACAAATTTATGGAACCCTCTTTTGATCGCTCAACAACCAAAAAGCACCACCGCTAAACACGGGCCGGTCAAGACCACCGTCCCGGCCGGAGTGAGACCACGGTGGGGTGGGCGATGGAAACTTAGGGTCGATGACCGGCCGTTAAATTGGGCTACCTGCCAGCACTACACGGGATGCCCCTCTCCTTAGGCTTTACATGGAATTCCAAGGACAGCAGTGACCAGACTCTCAATGGTCCAGTTTGCTATTTGGCTACCAATACCCTGGTGGAAAGGACTTACACCTCCCGGCCCATGAAGAGCAAGTATAAACCTACCCCATGGACCATCGGGAACCGCCAAGTTCATAAATTATATACCCCCGTGGCCGAGACTGCCTAGGTACAGATCCTAGCCAGTGCTGCGCAGAGTACTCTACGTCGACCCCCGGGATAGCTACATTTAGTAAGGAATTATAAGCCGAATAAAATAAAAACATCTGCCCTGAAGATAAGGATAGTGCTGACAAATCAACTTACAGTTCATTGCGTGCCGCAACGTTCCCCCTCCCCCGTGCAGAGCAGCATGAAATTGATAAATAGATTTCGGAATGGTTAGAGAAACTTTATCCATTTTTTTCAGCAATTCCACTTTTTGTTTGATGGACGTCGAAACATGCTTTCCCTTTGTAGATCCTTTTGCAGCTCCAGCATTGAAAATTCTATTTGACATAATCTAAAGATTCAACTTACTTTTATAAAATTGCTTTAACAGTCTGCAAAAAATAATAAGCCGGATCCAATTCGAAGATTAAGGAACAACGCAATCTGCAACATTAACTGAAATAGATAATTAGATCATTTTAGCTTAGCTTATACCATCCGTTCTACATAAAACGCGCATGCGTAAACGTATTATATGCATGCGCAAAGGTATTATGCGCATGCTTCAACGTATTATGCGTTGACGTATGCGAAGAAAGTTTCTAGCTTTGAGGTCCGGATTAACGACTTTTGACATATATATATATATATATGTATATCATAATAAAAGCACAGGAAAAGACGGAGCACTGTTGATGCGTAGTTATCCTATATTGAAGAGGAAGTATTCTGATTGCGTCGTAAGCTAATTGCAATCCTCGACTGAGGCGATTTTAATTCCGTTTTTATTTCCAATTGACATATGTTGCCACAGATCACTTGGGACACTAGTCGTGCCTGTTTAAGACCATTTACATTATTGATATCATTACTATAGGAAGCAGCGTAGCGAAATTGCGTCCAAGCACAGCACAGACAGAAGCTGAAGTGCATAGTAATGAAAGATAGAAGCACGCGAAGAGAAAAGTTTTGGTTTACAATGGTAGTTTCAGTTCCCTATTATTACATCATCGAAGCTGCGCAGGCCATAGAATGATCTAGAAATGACGCAACCCACAGAAGTTATTGGGGTTTTTAGAATAGAGATTGAGAATTAATGTTTTACTGTTAGTTTAAATTATAATTTTGATTCACATATTTTTTTATCTTACATATATATGTATTATATATATTATATATATATATAGATAGATAGATAGATAGATAGATAGATAGATAGATAGATAGATAGATAGATAGATAGATAGATAGATAGATAGATAGATAGATAGATAGATAGATAGATAGATAGATAGATAGATAGATAGATAGATAGATAGATAGATAGATAGATAGATAGATAGATAGATAGATAGATAGATAGATCAGATAGATAGATAGATAGATAGATAGATATGCTAGAAAATCCTTAATTAGATAGATTTAGATAGCATGCATCATTGCATGCAAATGAAAAATCTTTCTTTCCTCGTTTTAGACAAAATGGATCGGAATGTATTGGACCTAGTAAAAGATACATATCATGCAACATTCAGGTAAGATTTTTTTAATTTTTTATGAATGAATGCTTAAATTTTGGATGAAGATTTTTGTTTTGATTTTGAAACATGTTCAGTCAAATACGTAATTAAATAATTTATGACTTGTTTCTGTTTGGAACATAATTTCTCCCCCCCCCCTCCTCACCTCTGATTGAACCATATCATATGCAACTTCCTATTTAATTTTCTCTTATATATTATTTTAATCTCCTCTGTGATGATAAATTTATGAAGAGTGTCCTTGAAATCTGAGCACATTTTAAAAAGTCATATAGGCGATTTTGCTGAGGACTTATCAAAGAGGCGTTTTTCTTGGGGGAGGGACAAAGGCGGTATAATTCTCAGCTGCAAACGAATATAGTGAATAGGACCTCAGAACGCTTGTCACATGGATGGGGCTGTCGGGAAGTTTTCTGAGGCCCTAAATTCTGTGATGCTGCTTTGCTGTTTTATGTCAATTTTTTATCGTGCAGCAAAATACGAAAAATTCATACCAAGAAAAAGATTTAAAGACACTCTAAAAAAGTCAAAAAATAAAGTAATGGTAACTGTAGCTCCCTGTCAAATTTATAATTGTTGGATCTAATTCTTCACTCTCTTACTCAAAAGCAAGAGTTTTTAAGTCTTGCCACTTGGATTTAAAAAAGTGTTCTAAAGGTGCTGGCCCGTTTATTCAGGTAGGCAATAGTTCGCCATATTAACACCTTTATATGGATATTTCAGCGGTCTTGATGAGTGTTGCTTTCTTCATGAAACCGAACTTAATAAATGTGCTGGCACATCTGTGTTTTTATGTCAGTGAATCCTTGCATCTTGAACAACTAAATTCAAGGTCAACTTAAACAAGGTACAACTGTTCTCAAACAAGTTAACACTTTCCTAAGAGCTTCCCAGAATCATTGGTGAGGGTTGCTTTCCTCACGATATTGAACTTCAGAATGGGTCAAGCTCTTTTCTGCCATTATGACATGGAATCCTGCGCCTTTACAAACGATGTGAAGCGGGAGAAAAAAGTGTCAACACCTTTTTTCACAATTTGTCTGCTCCAATAAGGCCAGCCTCATCTGCCCCTGGCCTGTCAGCATTAACAAATTATCTGAAGAAAAAAGGGTCTCGGGTAACAATCAGAGTAACGAGCCCACGAATCGGTAGCAAACGATATTTGAAGATGTTTTGAGATTTCTTAGAGATTTAACACTTAGAAACTTCTGGACTTTTAGACTTTTAATGTTTCTCAATACTTCACTCTTGTTAACAAAGCATAGAAGGAAGTTATTTGCAGAACTATGAATTCGGCCCAGATGAAATTTTGTCTAGCTTATTTTCCAGGCACAGACTTTGAAAGCTTCGACAAAGGTTTTGTTATCTATTCCAATCTTTCTTGAATAGTCTCATACTTTTTTGCGCTTTGCTGTCACTTATTGCATTGTCACCAAACACTTAACATAACTGGCGATGAATAACGGCAGTTGTCATTTTTCTTGCTCTTAGAACCAGAAGACTGGCCGTGTACTTTTCCGGGTCATTCGATTTTCTTAAACTTTTTAACTTCACATTAAGAAGCATACAGACTGACATTGTAAATGCAAGTGGTGTCAGATTTTCCACAAAGAATGCCAGAAGCCTGCATACGTATTCATTCTCATGTACGCGCAAAATTTCAAACCGTATTTGTAAACGGACTTGTATTTTAAAAATAAATTTCGTATTTAGTTACCTCTTTTGAATTCAGTTATAATATTTAGAGATACTAGCTGACGTACGGAAGGGTCTGCGTTCGAATTCCGGAGAAGGCATGGATGTTTGCAACCGTATAGTGTCAGGGCGCATGGAGACCCTCAAAATACATGGTTAGCCGAAAGTCCCCTCGAGCGTTTGAAGGTTTGATGGTCCTTATTTATGTTATCAAGATCATAATTTAATTATCATTCATATATTCCATTCAAAAATTCTGATGGAGTTAAGAAAGGCAAGCTTTTTGTAGTTTCTTTGAATACTCTGTTCCGTGTAAAAAACAATTCTCTCATCAACTGAGTTCGTATCATAATTTGACATCTCATGATGCTTCACCTCTCTCATAATCAAGTGGATAAGATAGCTGATGGCTGATAGTTTGTCCTGGGCTCCAATCCGAAGCAACGGACTGGCTGCGTTATGTGGTTTATTTTATGTTTAACATAAGATATCATGACTGATGAGACTACGAGCCAGTGTCCAGGGCCGAATTAACGTTATATGCTACACAAGCCATTGCTTAGGGCCCTCACTTTCTTGCACCCCCCTCAAAAATTAAAATATACTATAAATAGTATTAAAATATATTATAACAGACTTATAAAAAACCCCATATCTCAAATAGCTTACGGCCTTATCAAGTCTAAATCTGGTTCTGCCAGTGTCCCTTTCATAACCTAAATGTAAGCCAATACTCATTAAGCCCATCGCAGAGAATTTAGCCCTGCATGAAGTCATCCCGCCTCTTTAGAGAGATAATTGCGGTGAACTTTGCTTATAATCCAGTAGATCTCAAATCGTTTTTCTGCTGTGATGATCCATATGATTAACCCATTAATGTTTCACAAGCAAATTGTCTCTTTCAAAAATATGGCCCTGGGACGAAATGCCTTTCTACACTCATGTCCATAAATTAAGGATAATGCAAAATCAGGCAGAGGAAGAGTTAGAAGCAAAACAAATTTGACTTATTTGTAAAGCTTATTTATTAAACAAAAGGTAAAGAACAAAAAAAGATGCTATACGTTTAATATTATTAAAAAATTAGCGATTTTTTCTCCCTGGAGCAAATTACAAAAAAAAAAAACCTATTTACAAAAAACCAATATTACATGGTTGGTATGATTGTTAATACATTGTATGCCTCCCAGACGATGCAATAGAGTCCGTACAACGCCTAGGCATGCTGAGTATCAAATTATCGATCTGATCTTGGAGGATATTACACCACTTAAAAAGCAATGCTCTCCTAAGTTCCAGTAGAAATGTAGGAGGAGGTTGACGGGTTGCAACTCGTCGGCCAAGTATGTCCCACACATGCTCTACTGAATTCAAGTCCGGTGAGAATGCTGGCAAGTCCATACAGTTGATATCCTCCGATTGAAGGCATTCGCTTACAATGTTTGCATGGTGAGGACGGGCGTTGTCATCCATAAACACAAATTGTGTGCCCGTGGCGCCCCGAAACAAACGTACATGTTGTTCCAGAATGATGTCCCAATAGATTTGGCTTGTCATGATTCCAATTTGAACATGCAGGTCAGTTCTGGAACACAGAATAATTCCACCCCAAACGAGCACTCCTGCACCACCGTAAAGGTGTCGTTCAATGATGTTTCCTTGGTAGTAACTGGTATCTGGAGCTCTCCATATGAAAGTCCGGCGAGAATCAGACTGCAAGCTAAACGTGGACTCGTCGGAAAACATCACACAAGCCCACTGTTGCTGTGTCCACAATGAAAGCTCTCTACTCCAGGCTAATCGCAAGCGACAGACAGTGAGTTGCAGTAAAAGGAATGCATCTGGCAGGTCTACGAGAATATAGACCAATCTGCCCTAAGCATCTGTACACGGTCTGCCTTGAAATTGTCGTACAAGTGGCTGAAGACAGCGGACGAGACAGGTCTGAGGCTGTGCTCCGCCTGTTTCTTTTGGCAGTAACTGCCAAATACCGGTCCTCATTCGGCGTTGTAACTCTGGGGCGACCTGTGCTGTAACGTCTACTCACATTACCATCATATTGGAATCGTTGCCTAAGCCTGGAGATGACACTCTGGGTAATTCCAAGTTCGTCTGATACTTCCAGTTGGGTACGCCCACATTCCAAACGGTCGATAATTCTACCACGTAAAAAATCATTCAAATGCATTCTTTGTGTCATAACTATTCAGTTATTGCACTGAAATGCTTATAAAGCGCCTGCGAACAATTTTACTTCTTTGCCTGTATTCTTTATATATTACTCTCTTACACTTTTGTCATTGTGACGTACCATCGGTGTCATCTGGTTACTTCCTGAAATTTGCATATGATTCTTGAAGATGTGTGTAGTGATTTTTACAGGTGATATATTTATTTTAGAGTTCGATTTCCGCGTGATTCCGAATTATCCTTAATTTATGGACATGAGTGTAGTTATGCAACTATCTTATGTATATTAGGCCTTCATGAAGCCATCCCGCGCCTTTAGACAGATAACTGCAGTGAACTTTGCTTATAATCCAGTAAATCTCAAATCGTCTTTCTGCTATGATGATCCATATGATTAACCCATTAATGTTTCACAAGCAAATTGTCTCTTTTAAAAATATGGCCCTGGGACAAAGCCTTTCTAGTTACGTGACTATCTTATGTATATTAGGCCTTCATGAAGCCATCCCGCCTCTTTAGACAGATAACTGCAGTGAACTTTGCTTATGATCCAGTAAATCTCAAATCGTCTTTCTGCTATGATGATCCATATGATTAACCCATTGATGTTCCACAAGCAAATAATCTCTTTCAAAAATATGGCTCTGGAACGAAACGCCTTTCTAGCTACGCAACTACCTTATGTACCTCTAAGAATCGTTCATTTCACTTACCATTTAACCCTTATCAACTCCTAACTCGGCGGAATATCGAAATTGTAAGAAAGGAGACCTGGTGATAGAAAGCAGGGCCACTTGTGTGTGATCTGACCGACGCGGCCAATTTGCATAATGCTGGCACCTTTATGCAAGTTGACCATTGTTCGCAAGGTACTATGGTGCCCCAGCATTAAGACATAAAGTTGGCCAACATCTTATGAAATATACTATTTACCATGAAGAATATAACCTTCATCAAGATTCCGCGACGCTTATTTGAAGATTTAAGTGAATAATCGCCGACTAGAAACATGCCGGCATCTTTTGCTGGTTAGCCCATTGTTTATCAAACTAAGGCGTGCGTGGCGCTCTTATGAAGTTCAGTTTTTACTGTGAAGAATGCAACTTTCA